ATTTCCATTTTTTTAAATTTCTAAACGACTAGAGACACTAGTAGGCCCTTCATCTTTTGATATTTATGTCAAAAACTTATCATCCTAATATATGCAGCAAATATTTCAATAGCAGACATAAAAATATTGTTATAATTAAATATTGTGACATGAAATTATGTTGTTTTGTGTCGATCAGCAATGCATGGCCGTTGTGGTTTTATTGCCACACTGGCAGTTTTTAATTGCTTGTATAAATTGTGGTTGTTTATGCATGAGTCAATTCCAGGAGTAACCATCCCCCCGGGGAACTCACCCGGGAATTTGATTGGTTACGATAGTGCAAATACCCGGGTGCAGGGGTACAACTAGGAGACTAATGCACGGCCCTTGGGCAAGCTGAGAGTGGAAAATGTGGCGCCCCACCCCGGGGACGATTTTAAGTTTAATTAAGCGTTTAATAATGGCATATCGTAGGCATAGTCATTTTATAACATTATACTATTAAACTGCTATGGATTATTCAGATAAAACTTTAATCTTGCTAAGAGTGGTTAAAAGGATGTAAACAACGAAATCATAAGTGGCACAGCTAATAATTTTCGCAAAAGTGAAACCATTTGTCAAATCCCCGGGGTCTCAGCTACTATAACAATACCCGCGGCTTGGTGCACGTATATGACAGGCAAATTTCCGAACCCCGTGAACTGTCTATCATGCAAATTCCCGGGGGTGTTCCGGGAGGGGGGTGGTTACTCCAGGAATTGACTCATGCATTACATGTTCATAAAGATTTAATATGGTGTGAAATTTATATACTTGCCCATACCAATTTATATAACACCACCGTCGGCCATTTAAATTTTCCCGCAATTTCAAAATTCGCGGCAAGCGTGTTTTTGGCCAAGTGTGAACGCTTCCCAAATGCGAACTGAGATCGATACAATTGCGACACAAGTGTGAACAAGGCCTTCAAGTCATCCAAATTAACTGGGTATATTGATTAGATAGCGACACAACACTAATACTAATGTATCACTACTTTCATTCTTCAACAAGATTTAAGATGGTAAATAACTAAATCTGTTTTAAGAAATAGTACGTCGTTTTCGAAAATAACCAGGCTATAAAGTAGAGACCAAATTGAGGAAAAATAACTTTGTTTGAAAGCTTAGAGTGGAGGAAGAATTGATATTCCAATTACTATATTTCAAGTACTCACTTATATTTCAAGTACTAAACAAAATAACCGGCGGTAAACCTCGTGGCACCCGCCGGAGCTCCGGTGACCGCCGGGTTATTTTGAAAGCCCGGCTTTTAAGGACTTTTTCGACCTCAATTTTTCAAAATATTCCTTAATATATTTTAAATTAACACGTTCCAGAATTTTGGCGCCCCTTCTGGGGAAGTTGGGTCCACCTTTCGTGACTTTTCTTTGGGGGTGTTACACCCCCCCCCCCCACCCCACACACCCTCCCCCAGTAGTTCCGGGCCTGGAAACCACAGTTAAATATTTTTCCGGAATGCAGGAATTCCTGTTCTGGGAATTCTAGGTTTCAACATTTTCCCGGCCCCCCTGGACTAATTAAATACAGAATACGCATTGAAAATGTTATATAAACATTCAATAGCAAAAAAATTATGTTTCTAATTGTCCTAAAATGCTCAGGTTATGCCTGTATTTGGCATCCCAGACAGCCACGGCTCAGTTGTGGCTATATAAGGTATGATTGATGACAGTATAAGGAATATATATATATATATATATATATATATATATATATATATATATATATATATATATATATATATATATATATGTAGTATGCATGCTCGTGAGCATGCTCAATTTACCTAAATCTAGTATACCCACGAGCAAGCCCATACCCATACCAAAATGCGGCATATACTCATGTGATAAGCATGCTCTTTAGTATATAGACCCTTTTCATAAATGGCTACCGATTAAAAAATCTTTTATGTGCATATAATTGACCCAACTAGCCTCGTACTCATATTAAGATTTCAGAAACGAGGAAACCCAGAAACGAGGCTAGTTGGGCCAACTTATATGCACATAAAAGAATTTTTAATCGGCAGCCATTTATGAAAAGGGTTTATAGAGCATGCTCATCACATGAGTATACCGCATTTTGGTATATATATATATATATATATATATATATATATATATATATATATATATATATATATATATATATATATATATATATATATATACCGGGTGGCGCAAAAAAAAGTATAACTGTTTGATTGCATATAGCTCAAAGACCATAAGCAGTAGAACCCAAAATCGCGTTTCATTGCATCCAGCGATGTCTAACTTAAATTTTGGTATATTCGACAGGCATTTTCGTCCAAGATTGACTGAGATATGAGTGTTTAAACTTTTGTTAGCAAATTTGAAACGGTCACAAATTAGCTAAAAACGGCCTATTAAACTGATTTTTAGCTAATTTGTGACCGTTTCAAAATTGTTAACAAAAGTTTAAACTCTTATATCTCAGTTAATCTTGGACGAATATGCCTGTCAAATATACCAAAATTTAAGTTAGATATCGCTGGATGCAATTAAACTCGATTTATGGTTCTACTGCTTATTGTTTCTGAGTTACAAGTAATCAAACAGTTGTACTTTTTTTTGCGCCACCCGGTATATATATTTTTATATATATATATATATATATATATATATATATATATATATATATATATATATATATATATATATATATATATAGCCCTTAAGATGAAAAGGAATCCTAAAACTTATTTTACCTATACCTAGAGTCAACCATGTTGTTTTTATTCATATATGCATGTACATTATTTGGTTTCTAACTAACTTGTTGGCGCACTTCAATATCGCCCGGAGTATAAGGTGTACGAATCCTTAAACTTATTTTGAAAAGTTCGTGCAGTAAGCACTAGTATACATAGCTTTTTCCCTAATGCATTCGGGTTGATTAGGAAGACATTTAATTTGTTCAATACTGGAACAAGTTGTATTTGTTCCCAATAAACTTACTTGTCCAGTAATCGGAACCGACCTCGTTAATATTTATGTTTCAATGTCAACTTTTCCAACGCTTCGCTGCTTTTGCGAAAGGACTCTTTGCATGGTTAATTCTACAACAATATTTAGAAATTTTTTGATTTCTAATTCTGGATTATTCAGCATACAGCTGCACATATGGATGATATTCGTAATTACTTTGATTTATTAAACTCCAATTTTATTAGGCTTATATAGGTAGTTACATACATTATGTATATATACATTTTCAATGACAATGTGTTTGATGCTCGATATCATATACAGTAATAGACCTAGTATAGTTTCGCTTACCTCAAGATTGCCACTACAGCCTGTTTCAATTCAATTTTTAGGAATCTTCAGGCGACTCCTGGACTCCTTTCACTGGATCAAATCGATGAACTGGCTGTGGCAAGCGAAACATTAATATATATATATATATATATATATATATATATATATATATATATATATATATATATATATATATATATATATATTAATATATATATATATGACGAAAAATGCTAAAATTACAGCTAGGATTCATATTTATATATTAAAAGATTAAAAGTTTCTTGTCACTAGCTATGTAAAAAACGTAGTTATATAATTTATACAAAATATATGATTTATACAAAATTATATAATTTATACAAAATAATGAAATATAGTTTCGTTGTTTATAAAACCTTTTGGCAGAATGCTCAATGGATATCCAGAACATGATTAAATAAATTCAAGTACACTCAGAACTAACGTCCAGTATTACGCATAGAACTGATCCCAATAAGAGACGGTTTAACTGGAGCTGTATTGGACATGAGAACAGATTATACTATAGACAGATCTTCTATTCATTATGGATGGCAGTTGCGAAAAATGCAACCAAGGCCCTCTGGCAGGAGTGGAACCTGCGGTGCAGCACTCTAACCAAACGAGGTTCAGTTCTGGGCATATAAAGCACAGGTGCATGTATATATAATGAAGTGATGGCAGTAGAAGATATATGGGTTAATATCGAAATTTGGGGCATCTTGTACGATAGTGACCGATATTGTTCCAACATATTTTTGTTTCATTTGCTTGGGTTTATAACTTCCCATATTGGCCTCTTTAATGTAGTTTGTGCACATGATGCATTGAATGCGACACTGCAGGCTGCAACAAACAGGAATTCTTTATTCTGTAAGCCGACAACATTTGTGTAATTTGTTTGCGGCTATATTTCCTGCTATTTCGTATTGTTATTAAAAATAGTTTGGAAAATTCGGGAGAATTGTTGCGGTCGTTTTGATCAATCTCAGTTAAGTGAAACAATGACATTATCATGAGTTTAAGAAGCCGTAAACTTATTGTTGCTTAAATCAGGGTGATCTTACAACTCGTTATGACAGTTAACTGTTATGCAAATTTCTGTATTAAGTTTTCAAACGGTTCATTCCTTTCAGAATAGATGTGTCTTTGTTCCACTCTAAATCCGCGTTTCCTGTTTTAACCACTTTGCTAATCCTTATTGAAATGAAAAGTAGAATTGAGAGGACCAATCATTTATGAATCACAATTCTACGAATGTGTCTGACTTGTGCTGTTTGCTGACGAATTGGTGATGATGGCGGGCCTATAACTGTATTAGGATTAACTCCGAGTGCACTTGTAAATTTTCATATTTTCAAACGCTCTATTGACTCCAAGAAGATAACACACTTAGGATTTTTGACATTCTATCAACAGGCGCTCTTGAAAGCCGCCAATGAGGAGCGAGTATGCTGGTGTACCGTTATTGTTGGGTAAAATTAACATGAAGCGAGGATAAACACGCACAATAGGAGACTTAGCACCACAAAGAAAGGGAGGAAATAAGGATTTTAATTTATTCTGTTAACTTAATTTGTATGATAGGGTCGAGCGGTTAGTGTTATTTATTTGTACGAGAGACTCATAGCGGAGTTAGACAGCGCGTGCACGCCCAATCGCGAAGAGGTAGCGCCGAGTTAACTTGGTCAAAAATGTCGGTAGCAGTACAATCAGCGAGAACTATGCCACTCTTGATACAGATTCCACCAGCAAATGAGGTGAGTTACTGTATGAAGGATCAGTATAACCTACACTAAACTAACGGTTGACAGTGTCTATACGGTTCGTATGCAGTTTGTTCAAATACAGATATACTTTTAATATAATCGAGTAAATTAGTGCATGGTATTTAAATGGTTTTTCAAAACCAGCACATGAAATGTTCTTATACTTCCCATAAATCCTGGGTTTGCTATAGTATTAGTTTTGGCGCGACGTGTGATATTTTCCGTTGAAATCATATGCAAATTTTTGCACAATTATTCAGTATAGTTTTGTAAACATTCGCTAGCAAAGTTACTGGTCGTTTTTCTAGGGGGGGAAGTACAAACGTATAACATAATAACATCGTGACAGAACGCCTTAACATTCAAATTGATTTTCGGGAAAAGTAACGGGTTTATTTTAAGCCAGCATGCTTACGCTCGTATGCAAATTATGGTTGTATATTTGTTACTGCAACAGTGCGTACCAAGTTGTAATATTCTACATGGATGTTTCAAATTTGTTTGGCGGTTTCCAACATCGGAATACGAAATTTTAAAACCACTTAAGGCCTGTTTAAACGGATCCAACATTGTTGGACCAACATCATCCAACAATGTTACTATAATAGATGTGACTGCTTCTCTTTCAAATCTTTTTGGTTAGATAAGCTTTACTCAAACTCTAAACCTAGTTTTGATAAAAATATTTGAAAAAGAAGCCGTTTAAGCCATTATTTCAACAATGTTGGATGATGTTGGCCCAACAATGTTGGATCCGTTTAAACAGGGCTTTAGAATGTTTCTAAGAAGATGAAATCGTAAATATGGTGACCAAGGCCAAGCATACCATCAGGGCAGAGCCAAGGCGTTTACGGTTTTGGCACAACGTTAAATGCCGAAATATTCAGCGGTGTCATATGCTATGGTGTTGTAATACAGAGTCTATAGTTGCATATCACATTCACTTAGACCTTATGATGGGATAATGAAATGGAGACTAAATAACCAGATCAATAAATTAGTCGATATCCTCGATACTTTTTATGTATTATATGATAGTTATATATAATGATACTTATATAGCTTCTACCATATTTGATATAATTCAAATTGTAATGTACAATTCAAATTTGATGAGGTATTCAACCAGGATACGTTTATCTCGCATCTTACTTGCCAAGGAAAAGCGTAAAACCTAACTGAACTTTGCGTCAAAGTGAAGGATTTAAAATTTTGCATACCTTGTATGCAAATTTTTGCCCTTGAAATTTTCAAACCGATGAACAGTGTTCTGACTTTGACAGACTGTAGTGACAATTTTAAAATGGATCTATACCATCATAGCATACGGTCAACGCTATTCTGCACAAACTTTAATGATAATTTGGGAATTTGGGAAGAAATCGTACTCAAGAATGCAAAATGCTAATATTGAACAATGTTTGTAAGACGCTCTTAACGCTTCAAAGGTTTTGTAATTAAACTTATGTTTGTTCAAGCTTTTTGGGCAACATTTTCCGCCCGTAACGCAAACTTTGAACGGTTTTGGAACAAAATATGATCCCCAACATTCACCTCAGAAGTGGGAATTTTACTAAGCAATAATCAGAAAGAAAGGTCATGCCGCAACGATCATTCCAGATTGAAACGTGCCAATTACACAACAGCATGTTTTTGTCCGTGTTCATCCAGCCTGAAGAGACAACATGGTGACTCTATTCAAAACGCATACAAAAGTTACTTGGAGACAAACATCAGTCCTTTAGAATTTAAAGGAAAACTTGTTATTAAAGATAATGATGTTTAAAGTCCAGATATTTCGAGATATTTATGGGAGGGGTTTAATCTCCAAGTTATTTATATGCTGATATCAATTAACCAACTGTTAAGCCACTGTCTGCCTACATGAACAACGAAAATTTTCTTGGTCGAAGTAAGAAACGAATTTGACAAACTGACGCATCTTGAAAGACATGTTTTCGCCTTTAAAATTTTTCTATGCACTTTCGAACAAGGCCTCGATCCTCACATGACACGTCACATGACCTGGCTATTGTCTATGGTTTTCTGTTTCGCCGACAAATTCAATTAGCCAATCAGGGAGAGCAAAACCAGGCTGGGAGTTAAAAGCCCTTGTGGATTTAAAGACCACAACACATCTACACAGCTCAGATACGCATGAAGTATTTATTATTGCTGAATGTAATTAGTTTGGAATTCGGTGTCTTTTGTTAGTCCACAACGCCGTATATTGGCCACCTCGATCAACGAAGACCCCATCACGTACGTTTTTTCGCCTTTCTAATCCTAAAGGGTAAGAAATTATCTTCGCAGCTTTCACGCACGAGTCACTCCAGTCTCTATCATTCCCAATAATTGGCCACGTTCAGCAGCTCATTTAAAATTTTGATTTAAAATTTTGCATACTTTGTATGCAAATTTTTGCCCTTGAAATTTTCAAACCGATGAACAGTGTTCTGACTTTGTTGCTCCCTAGAGGTCCAGTGAGGTTCACCCCTCATCTGTCAAAAGGGAAACAAGGTACAATGATACTGCGCTGTTTTTTTGCGACTGAGAGAAATTATAATCAGTGAACTGTATGCTGCAGAAATCCAACCCCAATGGGAAAAGAAAAGGCGCAAACATATACATTAACCACTCCGACAGCATGCAGCAGCACCCTTGACCAGCACACAAATGACTTGCTAATCCTGCAGAAATGAACAGTTGGCAATATATTCCTTTTAGGAAAACGAGTTCTTTACTCAAAGTTTAAACTCGTTCAGTCAGCTTGGTGCGAAAGCCATCAATACCATTCGTTCCATTTCCACTTCGATAACATCGGCTGAAACCTACAACTTCACTAGTGAAGACCTGAATAAACATCTTTATGGACGAAAGAAGGTGAAAGCTATTGACATCGAGAGAATATTAAGAAAGAGAAAGCTGTTGGACATTGAGAACCCATTAAATAAGCGATCTAGTAAGTACAACTTTAAATCAAATGAAAGGCTGGACCCGGTCGATGATCATTCTGTAATAGGATCACAACATAACCACTTAAATTGAACTGCATGGTATTATATGGATATATATTACTAATGTCCATACCACGGGTTTTCAAGAGATCTTCATTGTGCATGTTTTATACTGTATTTCAAGTGGTCTATGGACTATAAACAACAGTCATATGCTGTTGCAGAATATGCAAATCTAGCAATTCTGACACGGAAATTAGGAAATTAGAACCAAATTGAAAGAAAAACATTAATGGAAGTTTTTTTGTTCAGACGTCATTAACATAAATAGGATGAATTATGATGTATCTATCATTTTCAGTCAAGCTATTCTGTAATCAGTCCTCAGTAATTCAAAGGACAAAGACGGACATTTGTTATGAAACAAATTATAATTTTTCAAAACAAAGAAAATCTTTGTCAGGTTTTATTCAACATGGCGGCGATAGCGGAAAGCAAAAACCGCATGTTGCTGTTTGAATGGATGAACTGTGCAATTCCTGCATTCCTCAAGAGCAAAGGCCCGTTTACACTTACAATTTTTACTGCGATTTTCTTTTTCTAATGGATGTGAACGAGTGAATGAGTTATGAATGTTTAGATAAGGGTACATACACTCAGAACATTCATAACTCATGTACTCGTTCACATACAGCAGAAGAAAATCGCACTATACAAATCGCAGCAAAACGTGCAAGTGTAAACAGGCCTTAAGAGGAAAAATCCTCAACCACAAAATTGTATGCATTATAGATAGCAACAAAAGAGATGTTGTTTAGCAATATTTTCTGGGTTAACATCTCAAGCATGCTTATATAATCAACATTTTATTGACTATAGGAATACTGAGTATTGAAGACAACGATGAGTTGGATGATATTGAAATGACATATTCCATAATGTCTTTCCCAAATGACGTTCAACTATGTCTATCCAGCATTCCTGGACATAAGCTTGGTGTCTGTACAAAGGAATACATACCAGCAGGAACATGGATTGGACCGTACGAGGGCAAGCGAGTTCCTAAAGGAATGTTACCACGAGAAACTCTTGACTCGGGCTTCTGTTGGGAGGTGAGATCTATCGGACAGTTTATTTTCCACGAGGGATAAGAAACTAATTTGGGACAATCACAACTGTGCTTTTCTCTTGGGGTACTTTTTCAGCGATGTTGATAAGTAAAATGCAAATTAGATTGATACATTGTTACGTTTCATCAAGCTCTAGTTCAGTGCACGAGCATTTAAACAAAGAATCTCATTCTTGGACCTCCATTTGCCTTTTTGTTCAAGTCTCGTGAGATTCCTTGAAAGCCACCTATTGCCAAATTTTAGTCTTAAAATCCTAAATTGAATGCATCTAATTCCTAGCCTGTGGTTTCCACAACCTGACGACCATCACATGGAACTTATATTCTCGTTACATCTTTCCTATTAGATTTACAAAGATGGCAAACTGGATCACTTCCTTGACGGCTCAGATGACAACTCGTCCAGCTGGATGCGATACATAAGATGCGCACGCAACCGTTTTGAACAAAACATGCACCTGGTCCAGTATGGTCCAAATATCTACTACCGCTCGTTCAAAGATATTAAGCCTGGGGAAGAGTTATTGGTGTGGTACGAGAGTCAATATGAGCAATATTTTGGGATTCCTATGTTCATTAAACTATCCAGTTTTGGTAACAAGCCAACATCTGTAAATCAAGGTAAATACAGATGAATATAGATTAAAACTGGAAATTTTCTCAAAATCCTTACTACAGTATATGGAAATAGTATGGATCCTACTTGGAAATCTGATATCCATACTACTTGCAATTTCCATACTGATATATTATGGATATAGCATGCATATACTGTGGATTTAGTGATGCAATCCCAAATTCCATAGTATGGATTACACTATTTTTCCAGTGATATAATTCTGATAAGTTATCAAAAGTAGTGTAGTGTCGAGCTCGCTTAACAGAGCTGACCAATTTGTTCACCGACTGTAACCATCCATTGACCAATAAAAAAATAAGTGCTACAAGAGAAAGTGTTTTCACTTTACATTCCCCGAAAAGTTTGCAATATTTCTCATCCCTGAGGATCTGTGAATTACCACACTATGGTGACAACATATCCGCTATCTGTACCAAGTAGACGCAAAAACGAAACCGTAATGAAATATGTACACAATGCAGATATTAAATCCCATTTCTTTTTTTCAGTTGCAGGAGTCCAACAGAACATCACAGCAAAACATCCCGATCACCTCAGACAAGCCGGCTCACCTGCATACCTGACGAAACATAATGGTCTTACACTACCACGTCAATTCCCACCTGAAGTGAGTCAAACATTCACCTCGAGTATTCACTACAGCGACTGGGGTAGACAAGTCTCATCCGAAAGCAGTTCACCACCACTCTCGGCATCACCCGTCGCGTCTCCGACTGACGACCGTTCGCCGACGCACGCCAACGTACTGGAAGACAGAGAGATTGGAGTCTGGAAATGCGGTCAATGTCAAGAGCGGTTTACACAACGTTCAGCACTAAGACTTCATGTATGCCCAAGTCAAGCAAACAACCCATTCCAATGTGGTCACTGTAGTTTGTCGTTTGCTGACCCAACAAAGCTGCGGGCTCATGTGGTAACCCACAACAACGAACGGCCGTTTAAATGTGGTTTCTGCTCGCGCACGTTTGCTGGGGCAACGACGCTGAACAACCATGTGCGGACCCACACAGGACAGAAGCCGTTCACGTGCGAGAAATGTGGCAAGAGTTTCTCCCAAGCCTCTCAAATGAGCCGACATCAGCGTCTCGCTGAAGACTGCCAGTGAATAAAGCGGGGAAATAAACACATCAGAACTTTGACAAAACTGAAATCAGCAAAAATAAACTTGATAATTTTACACAACTTCTGAATAACTTATATATTGCATAAACACATCAGAACTTTAGCAAAACTGAAATCAGCAAAAATAAACTTGACAATTTACACAACTTCTGAATAACTTGTATATTGCACGATATTTTGATTCGAAACCATTGTAATGAACATGTAGATAGTACATCAATTGTAAATAGCGCGTACATAGTATTGTAAATGAACAGTGAAAGTATTGTCCTTTTCACAGAATCCCAGGACCGTACGCAAGAATTTTCACCAGGGGGCAGTGATACCTATATGCTGAAATAAGTACCCAAAATAAGTAATAAAGTAACGTGTGAAATAAGTAAGCCATATCAGTTTGATGTATGCTTATGGCCGCCCCATACAGAATCATACATTCTGATTTACAAGATTACAGGAGCTATTTTGCCTAATTATTCATAAAAACATTATAAAATTAGTAAGTTAAATTTTCCCTGGGGGGAGGGGGCAGTTGCCTGTGGTGCCTCCCCCCCCCCCCCGGGTACGGCCTCGTAGAATCCTACAAACACTCTCGAGTTAGACAAACCTCGGGAAATATCACAACATAAAGCCCAACAGGGAAATTATATGAACTGTTATAGAAATCAGCAGCAATATAAACTTGAAATGTAAATAACGGAAGTGATGTAAATGAACAGTTAAACAAATTAGATTTTAGTAGTATGATAATCAAAACTCTGAAGATTATCAATGTAGCAATAGATTATGCTTTGAAATATTGTGTAGATAGCAAATTACATAGCCGCACATTCATGTAATTGAAAGTGTTCAAATATTATGTACCACAATTGATGAAATAAAAGTACAAACGCAGTTGCCTCATTAACCGTTACAAGATTTTTTAATTTCTGGCCCCCCAAAAAAACACCCCCGAAATTTATTAGATTTATCAGCAAGCAAACATGCAAAGATCAGTGTTCTGTAATTTATAAAGGACTACAATCTAAAAAGGGTAGTTGATAAAACGAAATCTAATTCAGCATCCACATATCGAAATATGAAGGCCGCGGAAGCACTGTTACAAGTGGGGCGGGGGCACCGCCGAAAACTATATCTATCGCCACCTATCCGTGACGTACCCATCGTCTTTATTGGGGGTGGGTCAAAAATAGCCGACGAACAATGTGGGGGGTTCTGCTCCTGGTTATGTCTGAACACTGTATAGAAATCTTTCGCTAAAACATTTGCTATTCTAATATATCAGATTTCGATAAAATCTTCCCCCAAAGTACATGAAATGGCACCAGTTTCAGAGACTATAAATATCACAATTGTCTCGGCCACGAGACCAGGTCCACTGCGAAGAGCAACGTAACATAGGCCTGAGGGCGAGGATGGTGTCTTCGACGCTACCCGTGTGGACTCGCATAAACTTTTTTTTAGTTTTCTCGGCATTTCTTTTAGATTTCTCAGCAGTTTTCTCATTGTCGGGCAAAGAGACTTCACACACCCTTAATGTTTAGACCTAAGTTACGCCCTTGCCTACAAACAAAAATGGTAATACACCTAACATTAAAAATGTAGCGGGCAGGATACGATAATTCATGAGACATTATCAGTGAACATGAAAATGACTAGTTACGGATTACTGTCACTGTGCAGTTTGAGGATGAGATATAAACTGTAGAATAATTGAATATCCTATTTCATAACAAAAACGAGCAGGGCAGCATGTATTCCTCGCCCAGTTATCAGTAAATTCCGCTACATTGCGTTGATATGGTGACATATAGACATTTGATGCGAACTCTGTCTAAATTGTGGCGGCGCGACATGAAAAAGTCTAGAAAAGAATGACGAAATTTTCAAACGTTTGCCAACTTTTTCAAACGACGATAATACTTGTTGGGAAATGAGACGAGCGATATGCAAACCCGACCCTAACAGGAGACCTATTTATCTTGCGTCAATCTCAAAAAAAACACAGTAGATATTTAAAAACATAACTGAAATTAGAGTCACGCGAATTTAAATAACACCACCAAATTTACAAATACCACACCTAATCATTGCCCACAAAACTTTCACTTGCATATTTTGCCCCATGCGTGCTAGACACGTGTCCGGGACACTCTCCCAGTACACGCGTGTGTCTCGCGAGTTGCGTGGCAATCGCGAACGTCTTCCCGCAACTTTTACAAACAAACGGTCGTTCTCCAGTATGTGTTCTCACGTGATTATTCAAAGTAGTTGCGCCCGCGAACGACCGTCCACAAAAGCCGCATTTGAACGGTCGCTCGCTCGAGTGTACTACGACGTGATTCCGAAGCTCCAAAGGCTGAGCGAAACTTAACGAACAATGTCCACACTGAAAGGGCTTGTAGGGTTCCTTAGGACAGACGTGCATTTGAAGTTGAATTCTTTGGGTGAAAACCTTTAAACATTGTCTGCATTTGAACGGTAGACATAAATCATTGAGTACAGCAGCTTTATGTCCTTCCCGTTCATAATTCCCTGCATTCTGATGTTGAAAATCACTTGTTTTAGCTTGGTGTTGAAAATCACTCCAGTTCACTTGGTCTTGAAAATCACTTCTTTCCGCTTTAGGAAACTCATTGAAGACATATTTTTCTTCGTTTTCCTCAATCTTAGGAAGTTCTTGGCTTTGCAAATATTTTCCTTTTTCAATTCGTTTCTTTACTTGGTCAGCTAAGGCTTGTTGGACAGTCGGTGTAACAGGTTCAGAGGAACGGGGCAATGCTGCACTTTCAGTTTCAAGAAAAGATGTTTCGTGTGATGTTGTGGTATGGTACTCGGGGTAGCCTTGAGATGTTGCAGTTTCCGGTGGAAAAGGACGAGGCGATACGGGTATAGAGCTGGTGCGGTCAAGAGCTTGTGGAGTGGGAGCTGCAAGACTGACTGTAGGTCCTTTCTCGTTAAAGTTTCCAACCAGTTCTAGAAAAATTGAAGGAAAAAGTTTTAGAAACAAAAAATATTCATATTAATTATCAAATATCTTGATATAGTACAAAATATCTTGGTACAGAAAAATATCTTGGTTCAAAAATACAAAAGTTGCAGCGCTCTTAGAGACCGATTACATGGAGAACTTTCAACCCCGAGGTTGAACTCAGCCCTGTTAACCGGGTTGAAATTTTTTGCGATTACATGGACGATTTCAACCCCGGGGTTGAAACGCTATACTATACGTTCTCGGCATCGATTCGCGGAAGTAAAAAAGCCTTTATTTTGTTTTCTTGTAATAAATAGTCACTACCACGCATGCTCGAATAACTCATGATAATTTCAGCCCTGGGTTGAAACGATTGCATGACAAAATTTTAACCAGGCTGAAGCAGGGTTGAAATTTCAACCCCGGGGTTGAACTCAGCCCTGGGTTGAAAATTTGTCATGTAATCGCGCGTTTGATTTTGATAGAGTTTTGTATTACAGACAGGGCTGAAATTTCAACCCGGTAAACAGGGGTTGAAAATGCTCCATGTACTCGGCCCCTAACCAACTGATCGATATCTTCACTAGTGAAGATATGGAAAATATCTCACTGTGTATTTTTCAGTATCTCACTCTCTACTATATAATAAATACTATTATTGAATGTAGCTACATGGGGTTTTAGTGGAATTTTCGAACGAGAATTTATATACAATTTTAGACTAAAGAGGGAGCAGCTGCGAAAAACGCACCTTTATTAAGACCTCCGCCAGGGACGGATAAAATTTTCATTCGAAAATTCCATCAACTAACAACCTAATTACAGAGCCTGAAATAACGGCCGGCGGTCGGCGGTTTTCCGACCAAATTCCAGTTTTTCCGACCAAATGCTGAAATGATCGGAAGTTTCGTCCGGACAAATGTTGAAAAAAAATGATAATCTGGGTTTTTTTAATTATCGGGTCGGCGCTCAGCACAGTGAGTGCAGTATCTATAGTCTTAGATTATCTATACTAGTCTTATATAGAGTAATCAACTGGAAAGTTATCAAAGTTTCTTCGATCAGAGAATGCTTTAAACAAAGTTTAGTTAACTTAAATGTGTGACAGTGCATGAGTTACGAGTCAGAGTGACTGCTTTCATTGTTGTTAATTTGACGACCTGGAAGATAAAGAATGCGTTTCTTCGACGTTTCGAGCAAAGGCCCTTCATCAGGACAGTTAAATAGGCTGTTTATTACAAGTAGAGTGATTTACTGCATGCTTGACATAATTTACTCAACGGAGGCGATCAAATTAAACTAAAAAATTTCCGACCAAATTTGAAAATTTCCGGTCAAATTTCATTTTGCTGGAAGTTTTGCCGGACAAATTTAAAAATTATTTCAGGCTCTGTAATTAACCTATCTGCCCATTCAGTTCCATCCAGCGACATGCCCAAAATCTTGACATATTACAGTATTCAATATTTCAGTCATTATAAGGAATGGCAAAATAGTTTCTTTATTTTCTCATCTGAAAGAACTTTTGAAACTATACATTAATTTCTTACCGATTTTCATATCTTGCTTAGTTCTTGAAATATTTTCACTTGAAGTAATGACATGTCCGCCACATGGGCGGATTTACCGGGAAAGTTAGGGTGGTTAAACCCCCCTAGAATCTCTCTAATCCCTCTTATAAAGTGTTCAACCAAACCAAAATTTCGCTTCACCCCTCCTATTTTGTGTGAAAGTCTTTAACCCTAATGCTGCATGTAACCCCTGCTGAAGCTTGCTCAGTGCATGGTGCTGCTTGCACCCCATTAGAAATTTTTTCACCCCTTAATTCTTTAAAAAAAATGAAAATCCACCCTTGGTCCGCCATAGTTTTGGTGACACCACAACAGGGATTAACCATATAAAAGTATTCGTTGCTGACCAAATGTTGATTGGTAGATGTTTTAAAGGTTTTGAGTGATCTTGATATTTTGAAGGGCAGACAGAGTATAGTTTTGAGTGCAAAATGATTAGTGGTTGTCTAGATAAAAATATTGCGCGATCCCTGTTGCGACGTGACATGCACATCTACAAAAATTGAAGATGCGGCGTACATTTCATTCCTTTTGATCAAATTATTTGTAGAAGTAAGCAAGATATGAAAAAACCGTTAAAGAGTACAATACATAGTCTCAAAAGTTCTTTCAAATGAGAAAATAAAAAAATATATTGCCATTTCCCTTTAAGCACAATACTATACCTTCAATCTTGAGTTGGTCAGTTTCCTTTAAACTCAAAGGTATTTCTAAATGTTTCAGATAACTATCACTATACCATACTAAGAGTTCCTCGCCAACACCGATTTCACAGAAAGAACGGTAGTAAATATTTTGGCCACATTGATAAGCTGCCATGTTTTGTTCCTTTCTGTTCCTTGCACAACGTATGAACCTCATCCAACTTGAAGAGTTCTCGTCGCTACCGTCGATAAAATGCGAAAAATTTCCCTCGGTGTAAATCTGGAATGGAAATATAAGCAAGACATTTATTCAGTAAGTACTGAATGGGCATCTCGACAGAACCAAATGTTGATTGATGTTTGAATAGATGGTAATTTCAACTCGAGCAAAATTTATCTATTTATTGTTCGGCAATGCACACTGTATCTCAGTGGTAAGAGCGCTGCACACGTAAGGTTGATTAGCACCCCTCCCCCCCCCACTTACTTAATTTACTAATTTTAAACAAAATAAGTTGTCGAACCTCCCACAAATAGTCTTGGTTTTCACAGGAACCATTCCGCTGGTCAAAAGTTCGTTGTCCTTCATAAGGCCCAATCCATGTTCCTGAAGGCAGATGTCGTCGTGCGCAAGCTCCGTAGATATAACCCGGTATACTTGACGTACACAACTGTACCTCATCAGGAAACGACATCACTGCATAGGTTGCTTTGATGCTGCCGCCTTTCCCATGATCCTCTGCGTGAACTAAGTGATGTAATGATTGCAAAGGAGCATGGGTAGAACATTTTCCCTCTTTTTGAGCCAAACATACGTCGCAAGCTAAAAGCAATACACAAATGGTAAAAACTGCACGAGAACACACCATACTGTCCACCTTTCAGTTTAATGAACAAAACATCAATTTAATGATTAAAACAACCATATTAAAGATGCGGTACAGTCCGATCTGCGCATGTGCACAAAGGAGCCCTCTTTTTATTTTCAAACAGTTTATTTAGGTTTTTATTTCATTTTATGTTCTTGCAAAGCTTGATTGTTGTCTCTTCTTTATTTATTATACTCTAGAATCATGAAAATATAAATAGTTGTCGAATGAAATTCAATATTTTGGATACCGAAATGTAAACAAAGCCTTTGTTTACATACGGACTTTACCGCATCTTTAACAAAATTAATAATAACAATTAATTTCCTTAAAAATTAAAATTTGGAAACTTAAGTTAGTGAAAGTTACTGAACACAGTTTTCGAGAGTTAAAAGCGTTTTATATTCATCCGTTGGAGGGACAGCTAGTTAGTTAATTAAATTGGATTGAGTTTAGAAAAAGTGATCCTCCCCTCGCCATTCGTGCAGGCTGCGCATTCATTTGCAGATCATCTTTCAGCAAAAGCCGATGCACTGCTCAATGGTAATTTAGGTGAGAAAGGTTACATTTTCACCAAGTCCGCAATCTAGTACCCAGAGTATTACTGTTCGCAGGTTAGGTCGTGCCCACCACCCAACCTGTAAACGGGCATACTTTGAACGAAATTTCACACGATTTATAAATGACTACATTGTATAAAATTAATTAAAAATAAAATTCAAAATTACTAATAAAGTACTTTGCCAAACTATCTTAATAGCTTCTTTCTTAGAGATATTTAACGGTGGCATACAAATTATCCTCACTATGATGTCAAATTGCATAGTGCTTTCTAAGAAAACAACTTTTATAACTCTTACAGATAATTGATTTCAAATTTGTCGACATGTCGATGTTGTCCCAAGGGCTTGAAGTTTTTTTGGAAAGTCATTATGCAATGTGACGTCATAGTGAGGATAATGTGCTTGTCAAGAATTGTTAAATATCTCAAGAACGAAGCAAGCTTAGACAGTTTGGCAAAGTATCCTTATTTGGTCATTTTCGATACTCTTTACAATACAACCATAAAAAAATTGGTGCGAAATTCCGTTAAATATGCACGATATCAGAGTAATAACATACACGGGTTTACTTAATTCTTATTCAAATATGAATTTCAAATCTACTTTTGTACATTACAAACTACAAAACTTTCAAACAGATATGTAAGTTACAATTCAGAGTTAAAAAGCGACGCCAGTTGCTAAATACCTAGCTTCGTTCATAGAGGATAGTTCTTGCCACGAAAACCGCTTGAAATCAAAACACTCGACAGTATTTAAGCATTTTAACCCGTGAGTTGCGCCTCCTATTGCAACTATAGAATTTCCAAGAACGGCTGCTACGCAGCCTCGTCTGAAATAAATCATGTCTGGTAATACCTCACTTAATTGAGTCTTAATATTATACATTACAACGGTTTTTAATGGCTTATTGTGTGCATTAATGCCTCCTATAATAATAATATTATCACCCCAACGGACTGTTGCCATTTCACGCACACCAGCAGAAGGCACTGGCGCCAACCGCTTCCATTCGTTCTTTGAAATATCGTACAAGAAAACATTACATACTCGACTTCGGTATGACCAAGAACCGTGAATGCCTCCAACGATTACAAGTTGATCACCAAACAATTGAACACTATGATGCGACATTCCATCTGGTAACCTAGTCAACAAGTTAGACCGATAAGGCGGGACAAGCTGGGTTGTATAGATTTCACTGGAAACTGCACCATTCTCATAGCAGCCTCCTATAATATACAGATGATCATCATAAACAACGCCACACTGTCCTCGCAATTTGGTAGGTAGCGGAACGCCAAACCGAGTCCAGTTTGCCGATTTGATTCCGATATTTCGTCTCACCATATTGTCCGACACACCAGAACTGGTCCGCCCACCGCATATGATTAGTTGATTATGGTGAAGTGCGGACGAAGCTTCATAAACGCTTGTCTGAATTGTCTGCATCGCTTGCTCCTTCGACCATGCCCCGGTTGATAGGTTGAACGTCTCTACGGATCCCAATTTCTTGCCATTAATTAAACCTCCTGCAATAATTACGTTCAACGTTTCGTTATTATTCTCAACAATTTTATTCTCTGCATTATTAAGTAGTGGCACTTTACTTTGTTGATCACTTTCCAGCCTTGATAACTTTGCGAGCGGTTCAGATATAGCGGTAAAACGAGTATTCATTTTTTGATGATGTTCTTGAAGTCGACACTCGATTGCTTCCAAACGGTTTAGTTTGGCAGTGAAACCATCCAGTCTGTTACAGACTTCCGCAGACATATTACTCTTAAAGGCGTCGAGTTTTGTAGCTGCTTCGGCAAGCTTCAACGTCGACGTCGCTAACGTGGTCAACGTCGACTCCATTTTGTTCAACTTGCTGTTCACGACTGTTAAATTCGTTCTAAGTTCACCAACCTCTTGGGTCAATTGTTCACAATTATGACATTTGGCTATTCGTTGATGGCAGATCGTGGTCTCATGATAAACTAATTCACTTTTGTTGACTACCGACAGGCAGCCTTCGTTTGAGCACACTGCTGGTGCGAAACCACAATCATTAACGTGCCTTTCGAGATCGTCCAATGAGCCAATTGCGGAATTGCTAAGCATCATGGTAGTTTAGTTACACAGCAGAATTTTTCAACATGGCGCTTATACTTTTCGAACGAGGGAAGGTGCTAAACACATGAGAATTGCAAGAAAACTTTTATCCTTTTCGCTTTGGTTAAAGTTTTGACTAAATCTGTACGACTTGTTTCATATTTCTACTTCGTCTTGGACTTCTACGAGCGAGTGCGGTTGAAATATTTAACATGGCGTACAAAGTCACTGAAGCGGGGAAGGAGTTCGATTCGTAGTAGTCAGGAACAAATTTTTGAATATTTCACAACATGAAGGTGAGTACTGCATTAAATTATTTTCGAAAGAAGGAACACGTTGTAAACTATTATTTGCCTAAAAATTTTAATGATCGGTTTAATTCTAGCGAATCGAGAGACAAAAATGTTTGCACACTTGACCGTCCCAAAACAACAGATGTTTGATCAAACGTTCGTTTCACAACCACAAAACATTGAGGTTGTTTGGCGCGAAAAATCAAAACAGTTACTGTTTGAAATACCGAGCTTTCACATTTCAAAGATTTTCAAAGATTTATAAAGTACTTTTAAGCACTATTCACTGCTGTTCAAGTGTCTTATTGGAGTTTTTAACTACAACATATTTACGCGAGTCAAATTTAAAGCAACCTCGCTTGTTTCGAGTATATTTTGGAAAGTTTCGA